AATCTATGATCTATGATCTATAATGTTCAGATTATATGGAGTCAGGTGTCAAATATATTTGAAATCTTTGTATTTGATCCTTTACATCATTTCTTGTCTTCAGCACAAAACAATCTATAATCTAGGATCTCTAATCTATGATCTATGATCTCTAATCTATGATCTCTAATCTATGACCTATGATCTCTAATCTATGATCTATGATCTCTAATCTCTAATCTCTGATCTCTAATCTATGATCTCTAATCTCTAATCTATGATATCTAATCTCTAATCTTTGATCTATGATTTATAATTTATGATCTATAATCTATAATCTATACTATCGAATCTCTAATCTATGATCTCTAATCTATGACCTATGATCTCTAATCTATGATCTCTAATCTCTAATCTATGATATCTAATCTCTAATCTTTGATCTATGATTTATAATTTATGATCTATAATCTATAATCTATACTATCGAATCTCTAATCTATGATCTCTAATCTCTAATCTATGATCTCTAATCTCTAATCTATGATCTCTAATCTCTAATCTCTAATCTATGATATCTAATCTCTAATCTTTGATCTATAATTGATGATCTATAATCTATACTATATGATCTATGATCTATAATCTATAATCTATACTATTGAATCTCTAATCTATGATCTTTAAACTCTAATCTATACTCTCCTTGCATCTCTCCTGCTGTGTTTTTCTAGGACTTTAATGTTTCCATTGATTATATATTATTTATATTGAAAGTTTAAATCCATTCTTTGACCTGTGATCTGATTAGTAACGCTGATTCTGGTTGGTTGTTGTTTCTCACAGTCATAACTTCCCCAGTTCAAGAAGAGTGACTGAATGAGCAGCTTCCACAGAAGAGGGGTGGGGTGGAGGAGGGGGGTGAAGGGGGGGGGGGAGGGGTGGACAGAGGCCTGGGAATACAGGAGTGTGTGTGCAGCTGTGAACATGTGTGGACAGGTGAGAGGAATGACTGGAGGAAAAAATGCAGCTGGGTGAGAATTCAGATTAAATGGGAGGGAGGGAGGAGTGGGTCAGGCACTGATCCTCTAGGGGGAGACAAAGGACACTGTTTGTTTCTTACATATATATGTGTATATATATATGACAGAGTCAATGTGTGTGTTTTATTTTCATAATTAAAATAAGACAAATGACTGAAAATGTTTTTGATTCGTGACCCCCCCCCCCCCCCCCCCCCCCCCCCCCCCTTACAATAACAACCCAGAGCCAGTGATGCACTCTGATTGGCTTTGGGCTCAGCCAATCAGAGTGCAGGGATAGGTGACAGGAAGCCAGTCCACCTATCTGCACTCACCTGAGCCTTTACCTGGCTGAGCTCAGATCCCCGGCTGTAACTGTGCTGTTCTCCTGCAGACAGAGGTGTTCTCCTGGTCCTGGTCCTGGTTCTGGTTCCACCCACGACACAACATGGCTGTGGCGAATTTCCACTACATCACACGGATGAGCAGCGGCTTCAAAGTGTACATTCTAGAAGGTAGGAGCTGTTCGTGAGCCGAGTGTCGTTGTAGTGACTGTTTACGGCAGGGTTATTATGGTATGTCTGGTGTCCTGTCACAGACTCTGACGAGATGAGTAGCTTTCATTGTATTGGTGTGTGTGTGTTTAACTGAGTAGAATCAGATTACAGCGGATACAAAGGAATCTTTATGTTTGTCGAAGTGAAAGTTCAGACCTGGACTTCAGGAAATTCTAAAAAACAAAAAAAAAAACCCGAACAAACAGCGATCTTCTGTTAATACCGTTTTAAAAGTTACGTATGTTTTAAGTGTTTTCTTAAGCAAATGAAAGTAGTTGGTGTTGGTGTTTGATGTAAAACCAGTTTGTGTGAACGTTAAAAATGTCGGAGAACAGAAGGTCAGGCAGCAGCAGCAGCAGCAGAGTTCTCTCCCTGCTGATACAGTAGAATATCAGCGCCCGAGGCATTAGAAAATCAGCATAGGTGTGGTTTAACACCCCCCCACCCTCACCCTCACCCTCCCCCTCCCGCCCCTGAGAGGCAGCAGCAGCAGCTCCTCACATGTGGTTCGTCATTATCACGTGTGAACTGGAGCAGAGAACTGTTTATTGTTGAAGAACATTTGAATCTGAAGCTGCTCTCAGCCAATCAGAGTGGAGTTCTGGTGTCAAACTATAGTCTGGATGATGAAGATGATGATGATGATGATCTGCTGCTGCTTTCTCTCACACGTCTGTAGACTTTGACTGTATGCATGATGAGTGAAGTGTGTGTGTGTGTGTGTGTGGCTGTGGCTTACAGCTGTGACATCATCAGCTCTTCTTTGATTTGTTCAAACTTGTGTATTTGGAAATATCCATTGAGTGTTGGCTGTGACGACCCGTTCACAGGAGGGCGCTGCCCCGTGTGGCTGCTCTTCTTGATTGACGACTGTGTGATGGGGCCGGACGCCAAGAATGATGCAGAAAAACAACATTTACCGTTAGCACTGAATCAGCTGTGGAGTCGCAGATCTAGAAGATCCAGTTCTACAACTTAACGAAGTTCAACATCAACTGAGGGAAAAAATTCCCAGGAGTTTTTGTCCTGGATCAAAACACACTGTTGTTCACTGTTATCACACAATGTCAGACACACCTGTGTGTGTGTGTGTGTGTGGCCAACTGTACTGTATATATATATGAATATATGTGTGTATATATACTCTATATGTATGTACTCTATATATACTGTATATATGTATGAATATATGTGTGTATATATGTATGTACTGTATATATACTGTATACATACTCTATATATATGTATGAATATGTATATATATGTATGTACTGTATATGTATACTCCACAGACTGACTCTTCCATGGTGTGTTCTAGGTCAACCTCACCTGAGGAGTGAAGACAGATACAGACACATCACCAACGACAGAGTCCGATCACCAACACTGTATCCTGTCAAACGTAAGCGCAGCCATGAGAGGGCGCTCACTCTGGAGGAAAGGTTGGTTTTTTACTTTTACTCAATAATAAAGTGTTGAAGACGAAGACTTGACCAGTTTCTGTCTGTACAGAAGGGAACGAGTGTTGAACAGAAACCATCCTGGAGCGGCCCAGACATCAGTCCCACGTCTACAGAGCCCCTCGTCTTCTTGGAGTTCTGCCCCCAGCCCCCCCAGCCCCCCGCCCTCACATGTCTACTACACACCCGTCATGGATGAACCACTGGCCCTCATCAAGAAACCCAGGAAAGAGCCTGAACACACGGGGGAAAGGTCCATCAGTAGCACCACCACCACCACCACCACCACCACCCCAGTCCAGGTAACCTACCACAGTCCTACCACAGTCCTACCACAGTCCTACCACCACAGTCCTACCATAGCCCTACCACAGTCCTACCACAGTCCTACCACCACAGTAATATAACAGTCCTACCACCACAGTCCTACCACAGTCCTACCACGGTCAGTGACTGTGAATTCCACCCAGAGTGGAGTGGAGTGGAGGGTACAGGCCTACACTTGCCCAAACTATGCAATTGAGCCGGATTTTGTAAAGAAAATGTGAGCAATGGAGGCAGGAATGTTGTGACAAGACCAGACAGACTGACCTGGGAGTCGAACGTCTTCCGTCAGACTCATCCGTGATGAGGAACTTTTCTTTGTTTTTCAGGTGCGTCCATCCGTGATCACCTGTGTCTCATCGATTAGACGACCTGAGGTCCACAGGAGCCACTCATCAGGTCAGAGCTGCGGCCCACACACGTGCACCACACTGTAGACCACCAGGGTGGTGTCCTTACTCACGCCTTCCTCTCTCTCCCAGTGGTTTCCCAGAGCAGCTACGACAACGTGGAGGAACACTTCCAGAGGAGCCTGGGAGCCGACTACCAGAAGACTCACTCGCAGCAGCTCTCCATCAGTGTGTCTGTGGACGACCACTTCGCCAAAGCTTTGGGGGACAAGTGGCTGCAGATTAAATCCAAGTCTTCCTCCTGTTCTTCCACCCCCCCCAGCAGTCACACTGTCACTCACTCTCCCAGCCACAGCCACAGCTCCGCGGAGTCTCACAAAGAATCCAGCAGCAGGTCATCTCCGTCCTCCAGCTGCTGGTCCATTCATTAAGGGACCTCCAAGCCCTGACGTAGGAGGAACGTGGACCTTCAACATTTCACCGTCCAGTTCAGCCTGGCGACCTCTGGTGGTAGCAGTGCTGTCGCTGAGAGGGAAGCAGAAGAGTGCTTTGGTCACTTTGGACCTGGGTTCAAATCTGAGGCACTAATATGTAGCATCAGTTTCATTGTAGTTGTTCTGCTCTAATCCCGTGCTAGTCGATAGCATCTGTCCAACCAGGAGATACTGTAGGTGACGATGATGATGACGATGATGATGACGATGATGATGAGAGGAGGCAGAAAAAAAAAAAGATCCTTTACATTTCTTTGGTTCTAAAGCCTTCATTTCAGCTGGGGAGCCACATTTCATGGAGTATTGCTGTATTTATATTCTGACACCACTGTGTTCTTTATATCTGCTCTGTATTCATAATTAGTCATTGATTAACGCTGTACATGACGCCACTGTTGAAAAGAATAAAAACAACAAAATCATAAGTACTTCTGTGATTTGTGGTGAAAACAAATGATCTTGTACCTAATATTTGGAAACAAGTCCAACATACAGTATATTACCGTCCTCACAGAAGAAAGGTCGGCAGATCAATTCCCACTTTGACCAGTGGCTCGTCTGTGCAAACATTGTTTTTGTGTCTGGTAAAAATATAAAATATCATTGTGGAAGTTCAACTGTCTCTGCAGTAAAACACAGAGAGACAGATTCTAAAACAACAACTGATATATTTACATATGTATATTTTCACACAGTAAAAACCAGTTTTTACCAGACAGGCGTGAGTCAGTGTGCGTCTGTGACACGTCTGCTCCACAGTTATGCCGAGCCGTGTGTGAAAAGTGGATGGAAGAATTAACAACACTTGGGAAAT